TTCCCAACTCCGTCTGAGTTGGTTTCTTGTGTATCACGACTCGATGTAATGAATCAGGTTCGTTGGAAAGCACACCTCCACACTCAAATTGAATATATGTACAGTTTATTTACAGTTGTAGAAAGTACAAGTTGGAAAACATAGTGTATGTACAGGATAACCATGCGTAGTGAATTCACGTGCCAGATTGGCGTCTGGAAACTAATAACCTTTGGAGAGACCTCAGTCAGATTGTGGAGTCGGCTCAACTGCACGGTCGGTCCGGTCTCAGCACTAACCCGTCTCTGAGAAGATCAACAGAGGAGAACACTCTCTCTTTACGCTCAGCGGGCTTCCCAAGTGCCTGAGACAACCGTGTATCAGTCTCTTGCCCTTCTCTCCTTGACTCTCGTTCGCCCCGCAATTTAAGGGATTTTGGAACGGGAACTTCCGACCAATCACAACCCTTTTTTATGCCCGAACAGCTTACACTCAGGTCCGCCGTCATCCGACGAGAGTGAAGCTTACACAAACGTCCGCCGCTTGTTTACGTTCGTTTGTTTACAATATGGTAAATGTACTACCGTCTGACTGCAGGTGGGTCCAATTAACAAAGCCGGCGCTTCCTTTGTTTACCCTTGTTTACAAGTCAATATCTTACAAGTGGTATTACCCGACCGCACGTGGGTCCAATTGACAAGGTCGCGCCTCTTTTGTTCCCACTCTGCTAAAAGGTCACTACTTTACAATGGTATTATTGCAGTTTTGTTGTTTTTAACGAGAAAAATTCAACATATAGACCAGTATTTCTCAAACTTTTTTGTCGGTGGCACACTGAAATTATTAGGCAAAATTCACGCTAGCCCTATTATTATTATTTTTTGCTTTTTTTACGGTTAGTAAAGATATGAAGGATAAGAAGTCTGAAAAAATAAAGGTTTTTTAAAGTAAGTAAGTTTATTTCCAAACAGCACAAAAACATTCAAAACAAAAGTTATTGTTATAAACGTATCTGGTGATAAAATGTCAACTTAATGTGAAGTATGCGCCTGATGGTGTTTGCATATTTCCTTGATATTGGGTCGTGTTTTTGAAAGACATGTCCTCATCTCATTTTCAAGGGCCTTTAGTCTTTCTCTCTTCTTTGTTTTAATATTTACGAGTGTAGAGAATCTCACTTCACAGAGATACGATGTGGTAAACTGCAATAAAATATTAAGTACTTTGAATCTTATATTGGGATATTCCTTCATAATTGTTATCCAAAATGAATTCAGACTCATTTCTGAATGCTTCAATCTTAACGTACGATCGTTATATATATCAATTAATTCTTCTGTAAGACTGAACTTACTTATGATGTTGTCTCTACAAAAAGATTTCGAATCCAGTCGTACAAATCAACTGATATGTCAGGGAAATAATGGTTAATTTTTTCTTCTAACGACTTTAAATGACTGTAAATAAGTTTTTACAAATCTGTACTGTTATATTTTCCTTTGGCAACTTGAATAAACATTTCTACATTATTTGCGTTTCCTTTTATCTTCCACATTTTTATTTTATCTTTAAAAGCTTTAATTTTATCTACAGATGTTAAAATATTTTCATTTCAATCTTGCATGCTTGAGTTTAACTTGTTCAGGTGATCAAATATGTCTGTTAAATAAGCTAGTTTGGAACACCAAAAATAATTTTGTAATAATACACAAAATTCTGGTTTGTTTTCATGTTGAAAAAATATTAATATTTCTTCTTTAAGTACAAAAACACGATTTAATACGCGACTTTTCGAAAGCCATCTCATTTCGGTATGAAGAAGCAGGTTATTATAATGAGATTGCATCTCTTCACATAGTTTTGCAAATATATGCGATTTTAATGGTCTAGCTTTGATATAATTAACCATTTTAATGATTTGTTTTATAATTTCTTTTACAATTTATAAAAAATTTTCATGGGTCATTACTAAGTTACCCTTAATGTGTTTGGAATTTCAGAAATATTAAAAAATGTTCGTCATTATTTGTACTTAATCATATTAAATGTATTTATAATAAATATATAATTTTTGTGATCCTCTATCAGAGGTTTTATTAATATGTAATTAATATGTATTATGACCTTTCATATACTTTATGATAAATGCGGTCTTTTGATTTATAGATGCTGAACAGAGCTGCATTGAAATATTAATGAAGCCTTTCGGCATAGAATATGATGAATTTTCATTAGATTCTGAAGAACTATCGATTCTCCATTTCGATTTCGTTCTCTGTTTTATTTACTAAAAGAAGCGTTATTTTAATTTTGATTTTTTAAATCATATTTTTGAATTAAATTTGATCAGAAATTGCATTTAGAACAATTACTTTTAATAATCTATTCTATTCTCAGCAGTTTCAGTTTAGCCGAAAGCTAATAATTTCTAACTTTTTCATTTCTAGCTTCATTTTGATAAAATTTTATTCAATGTATATAAATTCATTCTTTACTTTATCTTATTATTGTCACAATTTCATTACTTTTCTCTATACCGATGTGACATTTTTAGTTTTCCGGCTGTTATATGGTAGCCTGTAGCCAATAATAGAGAAAAAGTATGGAGATCTGTCAAAATTTGATTCTCCAAGATTTTTATATTTTTAGACACGGGCCTCGAAACATCGAGAATTGCAAAAACATTTGTGTTTCCTTCCCTGTATGTATGTATGTTAATGTATGTCTGTGTCTGTGTGTGGGTGAATGGGTGACACATCTTGTTCATCCAATTTGAAGCTTAAAAATTTCAGTGTTTTTCCAAAATTTCTGAAATTTTGCAGGGAGGTTTGTATATTAGGGGATTGATGCTATTAAATTTTGGTGGTAAAATCAAGGAGTAGAATGCTAGAGAGGGTCACGTGTCATATTTTGGTGTTGACTTAATGAAGATTTCACTCGTTATTAGCATTTACAATTTTTTAAATAAAACTTATCTCTACTCTCAAAATTAAGCTTTTTGCCATTTTATAATAATTAATAATATACAAATTTTTAAAAATAGAATATCATAACAGATGGTACCACATACAATTTTAAATTATTTTGCCGGGAAAGTTACGTAACTCGTTTCTGTCTTTTTACTATTGCTTCGTATAAATCAATTTACGCAAAAAATTCGAGCTAGAATTTATTTTATTTACATCGTCTTTAAATTTAATCATTAAAGTATGTCAGAAGGACAAAGCGTTATACTATGGCATTATAGTTTTCCAGTTGTTTGTAAACGGTTTCATTTTGTTAGCAATTTTATTTTTGTAAGAATTTCAATAAAAGATTTGACTTTTTTAATTGTAGCAAAAACATTTTAAATATCATATGTATTTTATAATATTTAATTAATTTATTTATATATAAATATTATTTTTGTACAATAAATTAACCGAATAAAATATTATTGGTCAAATGATCTATATGCCTTATAATATATCCAAGGCTGTAATGGAGAATATACTGCAATACATACTGTGTACTTCGTGCTTTTTTTGTAAAAATATCGTTCACTTTCTAATTTCACAACTTTTCGTATAACCAGAAGGTATAGGACAGCCTAATAAGTCTAAAGAATAGTTTTTTATTTAATTAAAATTACTAAAACCATCACCTTTATTTTTTTACAAGTATCCTAAATTCCCAGTTTTCTTCTTTCTAATAATAGTTTTAAACGTTGAAAACAAAATCGTAGACTATAATTTCATATACTTTCTGATGAGTCTACGACTATAACATCGCGTGTACAATATACAGTATACTGTAATATGTAATATAATAGTTTTTGCAGTTAAAACAAATATATTGAAAATATATATATATAAACTATATTAATATTTTTATGCATGTGGTATTGTCTTCTGTAAGATTTAAAGAATAAATGATTTTTTTTAAATCTCATGCTTTTAAAAATTCTACAAACAAATGCTTGGTTTTTAGCGTAAGATCTATCGGGATGTACCATAACTTATCATTTATTCTTTAAATCTTACAGAAAACAATACCACATGCATAAAAATATTAATATAGTTTATATATATATATTTTCAATATATTTGTTCATAGTTTATTAATTTTTACAGCATAGGCATATATAGTAACACAATACAGTAGACTTAGAAGCAACTGAATAGATACAAGTTACAATATACAATATTCTGCTTCATTTTATTTAATTTTTACCAAATGGAAGAAATTAAATAAAATCCAAATTCCAAATCTTGCCCGTGTGCATGGCCCTGCTAAAAAAATTATTGTGGAAAAGTTTTCTTCTAATAGACAAAAGAAAAAGACAAAATTGATTTTACTCATTTAAATTTATTATTATTATTATTTTAAAAAATTTGATTTTGGAGAAGGATAGAATATTCACCGAACAGGAAACAAATTTAAATATTTTAGGCTATATAATTATTAATTATTGTTACTTTGGTTTTTAATACGAATTAAAAGCATTTACATTTAATCACATGTAGTATATTAATTGAGTAAGTCCAAAATCCGATTATATAACTTATAAGGCTAAACTATATAGATATGAACATCTCATTTAGTCTACATAATTGATATATTTATTATTTTTTCCTTATTAACTTCCTTATTAACTGATTTATTCCTATTTTAAATGTATATAATAAGTTGTTTTTTTTGTAACTTTTAGTAATTTGCGAATTCAATTATTTTGAAATCGAATTTCATACAGAGGAAAATCAAATCTTAATGAAATCCGTCAGTATAAACATTATACATGTAAAAAATTATTTTAAAAATTTACTAAATAAAATTGAATGTACAACATTTTATAATTTTAATCTAGATTATATACACGATATATAATTGAAAGAAATTTCTTAATATAAAAAAAAATAAGATAATCGTATTGTAATTAATAATATTACGGATATCCTAGTTGAATGGAATTACGAAAGGTTATCTAAACATTTCTTTATTGTTTATTTCCGGTTACATTAGCACAGAAACTCGTAGCGCCATCTGGAGCCCCGCCGTGCTTGAGGGTGTAACCTTTGGGCGAGAGCGAGAGTTTCCAATGGAGACGGTGGAAGAGGTTTATGTACGACGGAAGATCGATAATACAGGTTGTAAATAAGAAAATAAATGTGTTGGAAATCTTTTTGTTACAGTATTACAATCTACATATAACGATGTTATTAGAAAATCGTCTAAAATGATAATAGTTGAGGTAAGAACTCGATATATTCTCATTTTTAACCCTAAAGTTAGGCCTAGGTTGTTTGTTTGGTTGCTAGGGTAATAGTTTCGCGGGGAAATTTTTGCATTTTTATCATTTCTTTTTTGTTTTTTAAATTTATTTTTTAAAATTAAAATAGTAACTTTAATCACGTAGGAATCGCATTACGTTTAGTTAATGTTTAAAGCAAGTACTTAATCTTTTTAAATGTTGAGTTAACGTTTATAATATAAATATATTCACAGAATTTGTTGTTGTATGATTGACATTGATACACGGATTAAGAAAACGTGTAGAAATAATTAAACTCGAAATGGAAATGATAACTGTGAATCGTGTTTATGTCGGAAACTGAACGTCGGTTATTACACTCGAAGTTTTCAAAAGAAATAAGAAAAGTCTTCGATTGGGATTTTCCCATCTCTAATAATAAATTTTATGTTTGGGTTAGAAAAGAATTAATCGTGAACATCTTGAGATTTCTAGCCACTTTCCTTTGGTATTTGTAAGTAAATTCTATTCGTTACTTTATTTACATTATAATAAATGTAATTAGAAATTAAATGTGATTTTGTTTTCATGTAAATAATATAAATTTAAAGTAATACATATATTTATATACTGTATATAAACATCCATTATGAAACAAAAATATATGCTATGTGTTTGTTTTATATATGATAGCTATCACATATAATTTATATTTTTCATTTTATTGTGGAAATAATATATTGGTTATAAAATGAAATATATAAATTTGTACATTTAGCTGTTTTTACTTGGAAATCTTATTACATCTACTAATATGAATGTTTGTGAGAATATTAAAATATTTATTAATTACTAGATATATAAGTTATTAAAATTATATGAATTAATAATAATAATTTTAAGAAATGAGTTTGTGTATTTTTTGCCTTCTCAATATGACTTTGCTCATTAGATTATAAGCTTTGTCATTAATAATTAGATTTATTGTAGAATGAATATTGAAATCCGGATAGAAAATCAATTTATTAAAAATTAAGTTTGTAATTATCTTATTTTTAAGTATAAAATAAACTTATTTTAATTAATTAGTTTTAAATGTATTTAACTATTATAAAAATATAAATACAGATTCTATGTGCAGTAAACTAGAACTTTGTGTAATAAGTTTCACAACACCTTTCTTTTTTCTAGCAATTTCTTTAATGTAACTAATGTTTTTGGCTATTTTAAATTTATGTTCTGATTTATTTTATAACTGATGTGCTATTTCTATTTAACCTGAAGAAGCCCATTTAAAATAGCCGAAAACGTTACATTAAAGAAGGTGCTAGAAGAAAGAAAAATGTGAAACGTAAATACAGATATTTATAAGATTAGATAAAAATCCAAAATTCTGCTTTATTGGGCTCTAATAAATAAATTTTGGGTTTTATCAGAGAAAAGTTTGGAGTTTGTTCTATATGTTACAAGATTAGAATTATAAAAAGAATTCTACAAGTATTTCACTTTTAAGTTTGTTTTTACAAAATGTTATATTTGTAAATTGTATATATTACAATATATTACACATTTACTCTGTGTGTACACATACCAAAAAAATGAATTATAAAAAACTATTTTTTTATGATTACCATTTAATAATATAATATAATTATATACAGTAAGACCCTGCTTAATGCAGGGAATGTGTTCCTAGACGACCAAGCGCTAAATGAGGTCATTTTAACATAGAGTAAATAGGGAAAGGGGAACAAATTTTACTTTAATTTTAAGTTATTTTTATATTAATTTGTATAATCATATATGTTAAATAACACATAGACATATGCACACAAAAATATAAAGCTCATTTTTTGTGACAAAGGCCCTGACTTTTCTGAAATTCTTGTTGTTTTGCAATAAAGTTGTGAAGTTTCATTTGTCGCTTTTTTTCTTTCCTTAAGCAAATGTCAGTAGCAGAAGATGGCATCCAAAATGCCTCATTTTGCTTTTGCACTCCTTTCATAATCTGGATCATTCACTACAATTTGATTAACGATTTTGGTTATTGTTACCCTATCTCTTAGTAAAAGTTTTTTACTAAGGAAACCTGTAGAGAAATTTTTTGGGTTCTTCATTTTTAGAATCTCTATTTTCCAGTTCTACACAAATTCCTTGTTCTGCCAGTTTTTGAAGGTCATTGTTGGTAAGGCTCTCACCAGAAACCTGCAGTAATTCCTCAATATCCTGCTCATGTACATCTCTTAGTCTTGCTGTATCGATTAGGTTGACAATTTGGTCAACCTAACAATACAGCAATAAGCTCTTTTTGTTGAGAATCATTGGACACCTTTAGTCATAACTTCTTCCACACTTTGTTCGTGCATTTATCAGTTAATTCTTGCCAAGCAAAGCTGATATTGCCTATGGCATCCACAATGATATATATTTTTTCTAAAATTGCACCAAACAAACATAGATTTAAAGAAAGTACACCTTTTTACCATCTTTTTCTGATTGGTTCATACTTGGGAATAATCGTATTATATACAAATCAATGAAATGCCGTGATAATTTAAATTGGCATAAATTTTGAGCTTTTTGTTTTTTTTTAGGCTTTGCGCAGACCGCATTATATCAAATCAGCGTTAAGTGGAGTCTTACTGTATTTTAGAAAAATAGAATAGTTAATAATTATTAACAGAATTGATAAGTATATATATTTTATGGAATCTTATATTTGTATACAAATAGATTGGTTGAGTTACTTACTTATGTTTTAAATAACAATGACAATAACATGAATATAAAATTAAATTTTGTAAATAAATAAATAATTTTTTAAGCTTACATATTTAAAAATTTTAAAAACTGTACTGTAAATTTACACATGTTTAGATCTTCAAGTATTGTATAAGAAAGTTATGTATAAATAGCTCTAAAGCAGTGTTTCTCAACCTCTAACGAATCGTCGTCCCCTGCAATAAAACCGTTAGGTAGTATCACCCCTTCACTTCAAAATTCTGATGCCGAGGACCAAGACTAACGCCAAATTCGTACTGCATCAAATAGACTTGTGACTGATATAATGTTATTTGTTTAATTATTGTACGATATAACGAATAAAATATCTAATTATTCTTAATATAATGTTTTTCTATATTGCCCAGAAAATTGTTTTTCACCCCTAAAATATAAATTGTTACTAATCGCCCCCTCAACATGGAAAAACGCCCACATGGGGATGATATCGCCCGTTGAGAAACACTGCTCTAAAGTAAGATTACATTTGAAATTTTTCAAAATAGACGAAATGTTTCAAAGATTAATTAATCTTTTCTTATTCATATATTTTTAAATGTTGAAACAAATAAAAGAAATGGTGTTGCTATATTTTAGATATGTTAGTAAATAAAGGCTTTACAAATTGTGATGTTATGTTATTGTAAATGCAAAAGTATCATTTTTATTTTCTTTTTTCATATTTCTACTACATCATTTAAATAAAAAATTGTACATTTTCAAAATAAACTTAAGGAATTGTTAAATTTGATTAATAGAACAAAAAGAACTTAGAAATTTTTTCTTTTTAAATTTAAATGTACATATGAAGCATTTCAGAATATTTAAGAAATTTGATATACCTTTCTGTTCCATTTAACTAAATTTATTATTCTTTCAGTTTGTTATCTTAAATATGTATAGTTTTTATTTTTCAAATAAAAGTTTTACTTTTAGTTTTGCTACACAACAGTAATTCTATAATCAACAAACATTTATAATTTTTCAAGTTTGTTGCAAAATAATTAGATGTTGAATTAAAATATCTGATTTAAAATTATTTGTTTTTTAGATATAATAAATGCAATTGTTAGGATTGAATGTTGTTCTTTCATTGTTTAATTTGTATTAAAAAGTTCTATTTTTCAATTAAGTAAGTTAGGTATTCAGCAATATAGTAGCTGAAGGTAGTAGATATTAAAAATATAGTAAAGTGAAATAACAATTATTGCCAATAAAAAGTTTTTGATGTTATTTTTATTAAAATAAATATCATAAATTAACATAGATTTATATATAATAAATTATTTGATAAATTTAAAAATAGTATTTGAATTTTTGTTTTGTTAATTGTATTTATTTTAAAATATTTTTTTAAATATACAGTATTTGGCAAAAAATTATGACAGGTTCAAAAACAAACAAAAAAAAAAACAAAAAGAATTCTGCACAATATAATTTTAAAATGAAAAAAGGAAATTATTTTCATCAATTAAAACATTCTTATCTTACAAATTGTATATCAAATGACAACAAAAATTTATCAAAATGAGTACAACATAAAATCAGCCACAGGAATAGTTTTTTGGTTTGAAAGTTCTAATATTTTGTTGGTTTATCTTGATTTTTTCACTTTAATAAGTCTTTGGCATGTCAAGAATTAAGTCTTGTATTTTTTGATGAAGCAAGTTTTCCAAGAATTTATGATTTAGTTAGAAGTTTGGTTATTGTGCTAAATTCAGGTTGACTGTTGTAAACAGCATTTGTAAGCAACATCCAAACATTCTATGGGATTTAAATCTGGCAAGAGGACAGGCCATTTCCTTACTTCTTTCCTTCTTCAACTGCTACTTTACTACTCAAACTGTATTAACAGTAGCATTGTCATGCTGGAAAACTGCTTGTTTCTTGCCACAATTTTCCCAAAATATGGAAAAACAGTTGTTTTCAATATGTGCAAATAACTTTGAACATTATATTGTCTTTTAAAAATTTTAAATTGCAATTTGTACTGTATCCTATTGCACTCCAAACCATGACTGAACTACCATCTTGTTACTTTTTTGATAAAATTGGCTTTTTTTTCCAGAGACCATGAAAAAAATATGTATATCCATCTAGACTATCAACATTAAATTTTTTGTCTGAGAAATGACTTTTTTTCATTTGTCAGTCTATGACAAATTGCAACCTCAACTCCTGATGCTTTTTTTTTAATTAAAAAAAAAGGAATATGTTGA